ACGACGAACTACGAACCTAAAGGGTTCCGCTGAGCTGCCCAGAGGTGCTGCCCGGGGAGGCTAGGGGGAGGCGGCCAAGGGGGGCTGCCCTGGGAGGCGAGTGGGATGCCAGATGGGGCGGCGCAGAGCCAGGGAAGCCAGGCCAGAGGGAGGCCAGGGGGGGAGAGCCAGGGGTACGCCAGGCAAAGATGACGAACGACGAAAACTAAGAGGTCGGTAAGATAATAAAACATTAGAGAGGGGGAGGGTGGAGGGAGGGAGGGGAGAGGGAGGAGGAGGGTGGATAGACGAAGGGGATCGGGTTGAGAAGAATAAGAAGGAGGAGAGGAGGAGGAGGAACAGGAGGAGGAGGAGGAGGAGGAGGAGGAGGAGGCGATCCTCGACCCCCCGCCCCGTCCTCCAGCTCCCGTCGGCCTTCCCCCCCCCCCCCTCCCGTCGTAAGGATAATGCGAGAGGAGGCTCCTGCCTCCAGGGGGCCCTCACCTGGCCCCTGGGGCCGTCAAGGAAAGTCCCTTGCTGAGGCACCGGTGTCGGGGACCGTCGTGGAGAGATACGACGGGAGGAGGCCCGGGCTGAGGCACCGTTGTCGGGAGGGGGTCCAGAGCTCTAGGGGGGAGGCCCTCGCCAGCTGCTGCTGCGGTCCCTCTCGTCCCCCTCCTTCCTCGTATCCTGCTGCTCCTGTCTCCTCCTCCTGCTCGCCCGCCACCTCCTCCTCCAGAGTACACAGCCGCCCCCCCCCCCTGTTCTGATTGTGCCAAACACGTCGGGGTCCTGCTGGGAGTTCCAGGCTCGCCATGGCACGCGTCGGCGGACAGGAAGAATCGGCGCAGTGGGAAGGGATGGGTGGGAGGGGTGTGATGTCAGATCTGGTCCCCCCAGAGGTGGCGCGCCGCCGAGAAGTGCATCAAGGGGGTTGGGCGGGCGGGCGAAGAGGCGCGCCAAGAGAGATGGGGGCGACGTCGCTCACCTCTCGATTCAGACACGGGGGCGCAAAGGCGGCCCGCGGGTTGCGCGCGTCACGGGTCGGGGCCAGGGCTGCCCTTCCCAGGAGGGGCGGCGCGGGGGCGCGAAGCCGCGAAGGTAACCGCGCGCCGCGCATCGCGCCCGAGGCGTGGATGTATGGTAGCACGTGCCGCCCGGGGTCGGAAGAAGAAGAGGCGACGCCGGGCGAAGGCTGGCCGAGGAGCAGGAGGTCGGCTGGTGAAGGCGTGCAGTCTTCGGCATGCCTATGGATTCCCCCGCCTGGGGAGTCGACCTGCGGGAATCTCGGCAGGCGGTGGGCATGGACCTATTCGGGCTTCCCTTGGACACGCACACATGTATATGTATGTATGTATGTATGTATGTATGTTTGTATACAAATATAGGGAGAGAGGAAGCACGAGTGATCTATATATACATATAGAGAGAGGGAAATACACAGAGAGAGAGAGAAGACTGCATTGGCGCTTCGCTTCACGCACCTTGGTCCCTCAAGCTGGCGCTTCGCGCCATGCAGCTTGGTCCCTTACGCCTTGCATCTCTTGGCACTTGGCGCCATCCTTCTTGGCCTTTGAACTCTGGCCATTTCCCGTCCAGGCCCCTCGCCCGTTCCTGCTTGCTCTTGCCATCGCTTTACAGATCCTTGCGCCACCCGATGGAATCACAGGCATACTGGAGACCACGGAATGGGGATTTGGAGGCTCTGGAGGCCCTGGGGGTGCTTTCGCGAGTGTGTGCCCCTCCCCCCCCCTCAAACGCGATGTAGGGTCCTGGGGGAGGGGGAACGGGGGAGGGGGACAGCCAACTGTCTCACGCCCCTCTTACCCCCGGCAAGCGGGCGGCGGCGGAACCTGGGCGTCGCGTAAGGGGGGGGTAATTGGGGGGGGCAGCGAGGGCGGCAGAAAAGGGACACTTGAGGGCACCCAAAGGAGCCCTGTCGGGCCCAACAGGAACCCTTAGGGCACGAAAAGTGCACCTTTCTCCCCCCCCCCACCTGTATCGCCCCCCAAGAAGCGACACCCAATGCCTCCCAGCATCCTGCTCCGTCCTCATCGTCCTCCTAAGGAAGCACGAACTCAAACGCTTCCAATTCGACAGCGCCCTTCGGGAGCACCCGCCCGCTCGTCTTCGATTTCGCCCCCCACTGAGCGACGCCCATGACCGCTTCTAGAGCTCTTCGAGCGATGCGCTGTAGAGGAGAAAAGTCGCTCACGACCGGCACCACGCTCGACCGCCCCCACCCCTCCGCGGCGTGCCCTCGAGCCGGATCGGCCCGCGAGGGCCCCCCGGGACCTGAGAGCCGAGCGAGGACGCCCAGCGCGGAACAACTTCGGCGCCCACGATCAGCCACGCGCCAGGGCTACAGTCGAGGGACGGCGGCGAAGGCGACCCAGACCCCCGACTCCCTGAGATAATCAGCACGGAGTCCCCCCCCCCCGATTGTCGGCGTCTGTGGGGCCTTCCTGGGGCTCCAGGACCATCATCAGCACAGTAGACATGTGGGGCGCAAAGCCAGTGCAGGGGGTCTGCATCCAGGGCGCCTGCTCGTCCAGCTCGTCGCCCCAGACCGCCTCCCAGCCGGCCAGGGCGCTGCCTGCGGCTGCCGGGGGGTGCACCAGCCGGTGGCCGTCCGGGGCGGCCGACGGCTCTGCGGCGGCCGGCGGCCTGTTCCCGGCGGCCCCCGCCAGGGGCACCTGGGCCTTGCCGTGAGCACCCGTTTTGAGTGTACCGATTTGGGCCGAAATTGGTGCACTTAAGACGCCTGGTCGGCCCCCCGCGCTGGGGCCCGCGGCGGGGTCGGCCGCCGTGGCCTGCGGCTGCCACCGCACCGGCGGCTTCGTCCAGCGGCGGAGGGCGCCCGCACTCTCTTGCCCGCGGGTGCGCACCCACTGCCGCAGGCTCGCTGCCGACGCGCGCTGTGCCCCTCGCTGGCCAGGTCCAGCAGTGTGTGGCGATGCGGTCGATGTCGTGCGGCTCCTTGTCGTCCATCGCGTCGACGTCGAGGGCGCCGACGATGTTGACCAGGTCGGGCCACCACACGGTGTCCCACGTCAGCAGCTGAACCCCAGGGGGTGGCGCTCAGGAGGAGGAGGAGGAGGAGGAGGAGAACAGGGGACGGGGCTTAGATATATTGGTAAGTTCGAGGAGGTCCTGGGGGATTCTGGGGTGCTCACCCTGCGCCCCCTCATCCTCCCCTGTCGTCCTCGACCCATCCTTCCTGCTCCCTCCTCCGCCCCTCCTTTCCTTCCCCCTCTCACCCTCACACCCCCAGTCAGTGCTCCACCAGTTGTCGTCGTGAGCGCCAGGCGGTCGCGCTGTGATCCTGTGGCCTTGAGGCTTCGTTCCAACCGCTCAACGCAACCATTAAGGTCGCCAACGTGGGCCCTGGATCAGTGAATGCGGTGTAAGATACTGCGGTGGACGCAGTGCTGCGCAGTCGGCTTGGTGTATCATATACGGCGCAGTATATGCGTTGCAAGCTTTGTGGTGGAAACTACGTGGTGCAAGTTACGTGCTGCCTACGTGGCATGAGTCCTGCACAGCACATCAGACAGCACGCACCCACGGGCGGCCACGGGCGGCAACGCGCTGAAACCTCGACACACCTGTCCAACACACGAAGCGCCCGCGGGCGGCAGAATGGCAAAAGCTCGGCACACCGATCCGCTTGTCCAGCACACGAACGCGCCCACGCGGCTCCCAGGACCGGCGACAACCTCGGCAGGCCTATGCAATTACTCCAGCGCTGAGTGCAAGCATGTCATCGGGAGTTGTGCGGATCTTGCGTGCAGAGACCGCCGTTTTAGGTTCGATTCCCAAGTCGGCTCACCTGCCCATGCACCGACGCTTGGCAACAGTTTTTGCGCGACTTGACCATGGGGAAGCCAGTTACTATGCGACTCGGCGAGAGAAGCGGCATAGCAGTCAATGTGAAGAGAAACAGCGAACGAAGCGGCCAAGCAGTGCGGTCGATCAATCAGTTGATCGAATTGGCGCTAAGGCCGTGCACCACGTCATCAACCATGCCACGGTGGATTTCCTCGGCCTGGTTGCCGACAGGCGGGGCTTGAGGGGAGGAGGAATGACCGGAAGAATGAAATCATCGGGATGAGCGGGCGCACCTGGATAGAGTCATCTGGATGAGTAGGCTGATAATTATTTTACCCGGATGCTATTCCATTCAATCGCCTTGCTCATCCATTAGATTGCAGTTTGGCGTCGGTCGTTGTAGATCATATGGCGCTCGCGATGACAGTTGCGGCCATGCTCTGCCGCGCAACGCTGTTCTCGCCGCCCCGTCTCCCGAAAGAATTGCTGCAACGTCATAACAGCTTGATCTGAGTTGCTCAACTGCTCTTCTAACGGTTGTGTGCGAAACGATTTGACTTCAACGCAGCAGTTCGATGTTCTAGTTGTTCAAGTGTTTGTTCCGTTCTAAGCAAAGTCTTATCACAAGCAGATTTGGGTGTCGGTCCCTGTTGAGACAAGCGTGTTCATAATTGTATGTGATATGCCCACGCAAATTGCACAATGGGCATCGGCTCTCCTGGGGTCCAGGAGATCGCGCGTGCGGCGCAAGTTGGTTTGCTGGGCCTTGCGAATTTGGTGGGACATTCCAGCGGCGGCACTCGACACGCCCACTGCTTGGCGGCAACTCGGGGTAGCACCTGCGCGGTCGAAAACGCCCCGCATTTCTCGTGGCATCGCCGGCTCATGTTTCGATTCCCCTGGTCTTCGTTGTTGAGTTGGTCGCCCTGACGGCTCCCGTCATGTCTCCTCCGTTTCACGCTTTCTGATTGAGTTTGTGCCTCTGTCAACTGTGGTGAAGAGTCCAGGGCGTTCGAGAGAGGGGGGTAGAGGAGGAGGGGAAAGACGAGGAGGAGGAGGAGGAACGATGGACGAGGATGAGGCCACGAGGAGGAGGAAGAGGAGTAGCAAGAGGAGGAGGGGGAGGACGCCAGAAGGCGAGGGAGGAGGGGGAGGCCCCCCCGTTGCCCACCCCGCGGATGCAGGCGAGGGCTTGCCCCGACCGCTCGCGCTTTGCGGTCGCTGTCCTGCAGCCCCTGCAGGGGTCGGGAGCTTAGTTCGCCTCCGCCCGCGCTATCCATGACTCGGCACGGCAGGTGGCAATGGCGTTCAAGGTTGAATTCTGCATGATAGAAGGACGCGGAAGCATCGAGGGACACGGTAATCGGGCGATCGCAAATTTGGATCAAGGAGGCGTGGATTAGCAACGGGTCCCGTGTCCATGGGAAATCGCCGATTTCCGCCGCCGAGCGAGGCGGCATTGGCCGCATTTTGGAGGGAGGGAACCCCTCCCGATCCATGGATTTGGTGACCGCGCGTCAAATCCGCGGATCGCTAATCCATGTTTGCGCGTCCCCGAGTGATAGAAGGACGCGGAATCATCGAGGGACATGGTAACGCCACAGGACACGACGGAATGCATTCTTGAGCGATCGAGGCCGCGATCGGTTCGAGGTTGAACGATCGACATGGTGTCAAGAGCCTTTGTGCTCGCCGACGCTACACGAATTTACCGTGCGGTCGCTGGCGGTTCTTCTCCCCAAATTCCCAGGGTCCTTCTCGAAAATCAGGCCGCTCGGGGGAGGGGGAAGCTCGGGATACACCCCCAGGGGGCCTTCTCGGAAGCACCCCTGTTGATGATGGACATCCCCCGTGTATTGCCCGAGTTGGGCCCCACGTCTTTTGCCCAGTCGGGGATCAGGGTCATCATGCCCCCGTTAAGTGGGGTCGCCATAGACCGACAGTAGCCCCTGCCCATTTTGAGCAGGACTCGCCGTCGGTGCCCCCGCGGACGTTCTCAGTTTGAGACGGGAACTCGTGAGAGGGGGAACGTCGGGAGGTGACCCGCTCAGGGGGGGGGAAGCATCGAGCTGGAATCGGCGATGCATCCTTCTTAGCCTATCCCTCCCTAACGGCAGACGCTGATGGGCATCGCACAACGTTGTCACGTGCCCATTTCGGGTGTGCAGAGGGGTGTGGTGCTCGCATCCGGGCGACCCCGAGAGGTCTCCGGGGGTCCCGGAGGTCTCGGCGGAGGTCCTCGGAGCCCTCCAGAGGTCCCAAACAGTTCCCTTCGATGCTCGTTTCGGGGACCTTCCTGGAGCCCACCTAACGGATCTGTTCGACCCCAGTTCGACTCAAGTTCGACTCAAGTTCGACTCAGGTTCGACTCAGGTTCGACTCAGGGTCGACCCAACTCGACTGATGTTCGACGCAGCTTCGACGCACGAGTGGAGCGAGTGGCTCCAGGAAGGTCCCCAGAACGAGCATCCAAGTTCCCACGGATACCCAGAGCCATCGCCGATGGCAGTGGTAGAGGCACGCCGCTTACGACGTCTTCGGCCGAGTGGTGGCGGGGGCGCGGGAGGAGGGTCGAGGGTCCAGGTTTTCGGCTGTCCTCTTCGAGCTTCTGGAAGCCTCCAGCGACTGGCGGGCACCTTTCGGGTGGACCCGATAGGGGGTCCAGCGACGAGGGGGTGGTGCCATAGACTTGGTGCAACAGACTTGAGGGGTTGCAGTACAGTTTGGGGCGTGCAATACATGTCGGGGCGCAGATGTATTGCTGCATTTTCGCGCGCAGTACATTTCTTGCACGACTATGCAACACAATTCTCCGGCGCAGTACATCTGCAATGCAATTGCCCCAAATCTATTGCACCACCCCCTTTCAGCTGGACCCGCTTTTTTGGGTCACCCAAAGACCTTCCGGGCAGAGGCCAGACTTTAGAAGAAGTTCTCAGGGGGCAAGGGGGGTGTAAGGCCCTTCTTAAGTCGGGCATGTCCCTCTACATGGGGGAATATTCAAAAATCGTCAAACAATAGTCTGGGGACGATTTGTTTTATACTATTTTTGACTATTTTTGATTTTGTTGTTTGGGATATGTTTCATTTGTCATCGCCTGTAGGGGGACATGCCCGACCCAAGGGAAGGCCCCGCCATCCCCCTCACCCCGAGGACCGAGAGCCGCAGGCGTGCCTGCCCGCGCGAGGCTGGTGCCTTGGTGGTCTCCGGCCTTCCCTGGCCGCTTGAGGCTTATACTGGGCATTGCAGCCCCCGCCCCCCCCCTCCTCCCCCCCCCAACAACGTGACGCCCCTCCCCCCAAGAACGTAACGCCCGCGCCCCCCAACAACGTGACGCCCCTCGCCCCCCAATAGCGTTGTCCCCCCCTCGCCCCCCAACAACGCAACGCCCCTCCCCCCCAGAGCGCTCCGGGCACTGCCGCCGCGCGCACCGGGCACAAGGCCGGGGGGCCCCGTTGCCGCACGGCCCGGCGCCGCCCCAGAGCTTGGGCACCCGGGGCCCCGCCCGCGAGAGACCGGCCGGCCGCGCGCGCGCGCGCTGCAAAGGCCTGCCTCCCCGGCCTGCGCGCTCCGCTCGGGCCGCCCGCTCCCTCCCGCCCTCCGTCGCGCCGAGGCCCGCGGGAGCTCGCCGCGCGGGCGCGGGCGTGCCGGCACCCCGCGCTCCGCGGCGTGGACGGCCCCGCGTGCATGCGGGCGGCGGCCCCCGCTCTGGAGCAGGAGATGCGACTGCAGGGCTACGGTGCTGTGCCCCCGAGGTGTGCTTGTTGTGTCCGTGGGGTGCCCCAGGAGTGCGCAGGGCAGAGTGCTCCGCGAGTCTGCCGGGGGGCATGCGACGCCCGTCTCATAGACTCCGCAGGGAAAACATGTGGGGCGAGTGAATGTTCTGCAGTCCATCCCCTACTCGACCCCTGCCCCCTGGGGAAGCCCCAAGGCAAGGTGCAGCGACACTCACGAGCTGCGAACGTATGCGGTCGGACCGAGGGTGTGGACATGGATCGACTTCAGAATTGAGTTACCCGTATTATTTTCTTCTGTCGAAAGTCTGAGATGTGCGCAGAATGCTTGAAGTATGTCTCGTAGACTCAACGGAAGTTCGGGTGTACATTAATTATGTAGTCGATCCTTTACTACTCGACCCGTGTCCCGTTGGAAAACCCCCAGGCCAGGTGCAGCGACACTCACGAGCGGCGAAAGTATACGGTCGTACCGAGGTAGAAGGTCGAGGTCCGTTCGGGGAGGGTACCCTAGTGTGTTTCGTGCTTGTTGGCTGTTCCTGTGCATGCTTGGGAGGGTACCCGTGGATGTTCTGTGTGTTTTGGCCGGAGGTGGGTCTCATGTTCTTGAAGAGTGTCCTAGGTACCCACGGGTACCCTCCCGTATCCATACCCACGCCCGTTCTTGACGCGACCGTTCTTCTGACGGGGTGCGTTCTGGCCGTATACCCACGCCCTCGCGGTCTCGACTCCTGGGCGCGATCCCGCGGATAAGCGGTCGCACGGATGCGTTCTGCGCGGGGGCCATGCCCCGGGGGCATCCGCGAAAAAGCGCCCCGTATCCGCGGGGGCGCGGCCCAGGGGCCTGGCCCACGAAGCCGTGGATACGGGTATGTTTTTCGCCCACGAGACACCCCAAGGCCAGGTGAAGCGATACGGAGGGGGACTGCCCCAGCTACGTCGCATCTTAAGAGCCCATGGGTGGGGGAGCGCCTCTTGGGCGGTGGCACGCCTGCGCGTCGTCCAGCGCTGGGTGACGCGCGGCTCAGGCGCGCCGCCGCCCAGGGGCCGCCCTCCCCCGATGGGTTCTCGGTGGCGGTGGCCTGCGGCGGAAGGCTCCGGGTCGCAGCGATACGGGTGGGAAGGACCCGGTGACGGTCGCATCTTTGGGAGGCCTCTCTAGGCGACGCAAACATGGATTCAGGCGCGTGGGTCAGCGACTGTTCCCGTTTCCGTGCAGAATTGGCGTGCTCCACTGGCGCGCCATGTTCCGGGGGTGCCCAAACCTTGCCCGTCCCGTCCCGTAAGTCGTGGCCTTCTGGTGTGTCCGACGTGGGTCCGACGCGCCCTCGGAGCGGATGTGGCGCGGATTCGGCGCGGACTCGACGCGGATGGGGCGGACAGCGGCGCAATGAGGCAGGCAAGGCCCCCGGGCAGGCAAGGTCCCCGGGCAGGCAGCGTGAGCCCAGGCGGGGAGCGGGGAGGTGGCACCGGCCCCCAGTGTCGAGGGAGGGAAAACCACCCGGACCCGACAGCTGGCGTTTACCAAACGGCCCTGGGCGTTTACTACACAGCCCTGCCCTCGTCCAGGGGCCCATCGTGCGGCCGGCGCAACGTCGCTGGCTGCGCGAGCAAGGTGGTGGAGGGGGCCATCTGGAGTGTGAATGTCAAAAAAATGCATTCCTTCTTCGGGTGCGTTTCCTAAACGGCCTCGCGTGTCGGGGTGGTTATTCTGTTGGGGTGGGTTTCCTGCCCTCTGCGATGGCCCCTTCCTCGCCGATGGGGGCGTCGGTGCTGGGCCCTGTCCGTCCCTGGGGGGCGGAGGAGCCGGGCCACGTCAGCGGGGGTCGCCACGAGGGGGTCGCCCGCTCCTCCCGCGGGCCCCGGTTCGAGGAAGCGATTCGGGACGAGTCGGAGCGTTCAGTGAGGCTCGGATGGGGGGGCTTCTGGGGTCCCGAAGGGTCGTCCTCCTCGAGGAAGTAAGAGCCCCCCGTGGACACGCCAGGCAACGGCGACGCGGGTGGCGGCGACGTAGATTTTCGGTCTTGTAGCTGGGGGTGGTTCGTGGCCAGCCCAGTTTCAGGAAAGCGCTGTTGTTCGCGTTTTCCTGCTCTCGGCGTGCGGGCTTCCTGCCCTGCCGCTGGCTCACAGGTCTGCCTACTGGTTCCGCCTTGCGCCGCCCTCTCTGGCCGGCCCCTGGCCCCCACCGCCTTCCCGGTCTCGCTGTCTTGGCCTTGCTGGGTGGACGCGCTTCTACGCCCCTGCCGCTTGCAGCATCGCTTCTGTACTGGCCGGTCTGGTCGAGATCCTTCTCCCCCGACCTGTCCAGTGAAGTTACAGGTGGCAGCATCGCCCATGCCCCGCAGCCCGCCCAGCCCCTGTCCCGCTGCATTTTGCCGCCTTCGGCGCCGCTGTCCGCCCAGCTGCACCAGGGCATTGGGCCTCAGCTCCCACTCCCGGTGTATTTCCTCTTCGCGCAATGCAGCCGTTGCCCCTGGGTGTGGCCGCGACGCCGCCCCGCGCCCGCTGCCAGGGGTGTTGCACTGGCTGGCCGCCCGGGCCGCTCCGCTGCGGGCCCCGCCGCATTGAGTGAGCGTTCCCCTTCCTCCCCCCGCGCCGTCTGCTTCTCTATTTTCCATTCTTGCTGCCGGACAACTCGCGACGCCGTCATCCGGCTTGCCTGAGCACGCATGCGGACTGCTTCGGCCGCGATGCGACGCAGAAAATGCGTTTTTGCAGTATGTTCTGCCCGAGTTCCGCGTCGCAGAAAAAGGTGAATTTCCAACATCGCCGTTCGACGACATCGCCGTTAGCGTAGCCTTGAAACCTCCCCTGGAGGCGCCCCTGGCTTGGAGGTGCCTGGAGGACCCCAGGTTGGGAATCCTCAGTTCCTGCAGCGCTCTTCGCCGCCAGGGGCTGGCCTCCCGGGGCCTCTAGGCCCTGCAGCATCTGGCCCGCGCCGAGCAGAGAACTCTTCCCGCACCTGGGCGCGCGGCCCAGGGCGGCTCGCCCTGGCTCCAGAACCTCCGCATTTTGATGGGTTTTCCGATTTACGTGTAAGCCTCCTGTCGCAGACGCACCCCAAGCGATGCGAAAACGCAGGGCGGAAATGTCCGCCTCAGAGAAGCAGGGCGGACATCTTTGGTCGAGTGCGGCAGAAAAGGCGGGAATTTGAAACGTAGGGCGAGCATGTTCGGCCTGCTTGCGAGAGATCGCCCAAAGTACGGCGGATCTGGAGTCCGGGTTATCTGCTGGCACACACACGCAGAGTCGACCTGCAGCAGCAATCCTGCCTCTGTCTCGGCTTGTTCGCGGTCGCAGGTTCGCAAAGGCCCGAATCATCCGTTAAACGTACAAGTCGTGGATCTTTCCCTTCGTTCCCAAACTCAAGACTGGCACGCGCGGAGGAGACTGCGGTCAAAACGCAAGTCATCAGTCCCACCGCCAACTTTGAACATTTGGGGGAGGGGGAGGCAGGCGTTGACTGGTGAATGTGGCATGGGTGTTCGCTGTTCGTTATTTTTTTCCGAGGCCTGTCGGGGCTGGGGAGGGCCAGATGCAGTTGCTGATGCGTGCCTCGGGGGCCCAGGCCGGAGTTGCCCCAGGCCAGAGTTGCCCCAGACAGCTCGGGCGCCCAACCACTCCCGAACCGTCGGGGCTGGGAGCGGTCTGGGGTGACTCCTGGCTGGCGCGCCGGGGGCCCGAGCTGGAGCTGCCCCGGACCGGCGTTGTCCCGCACAGCTCGTGATGGGCCTGTTGTCCACCACCACCACCACCATAAGTTGGAGGAGGAAGGATGTGGAGGATGAGGAGGAGGAAACAGAGGAGGAGGAGGGAGGGAGGGAGGAGGAGGAGGAGGAGGAGGAGGAGGAGGAGGAGGAGGAGGAGGAGGAGGAGGGAGGAGAGGAAGGAGGAGGAGAGAGGAGGAGGGAGGAGGAGGAGGAGGAGGAGGAGGGGGGGGCCCCCTCCCCCTCCGACTTCTGGCGGTGGTGGTGGACAACAAGTCCATCAGCTCGGGCGTCTGAACTTCCCTCGGCGGCAGCAGCCGCCGCGGCAGGCGCCTCGAGAGCTGCCGCGCGTCGGCTCCGCTGGGGGGGGGGGGGGGGCGGCGGCCGCCGCCCGCCGTGCCCGAGCCCAGAGCGCGGCGCCCCCGGGCGAGCCCCCCAGGCAAGGCCGCAGGCGGGGGGAGGCGGGAGGCACCCGCGCGAGAAGGGGCGCCAGGGTGATATGGGTTTGCTTTCCACCACCGCCACCATGAGCTGGAGGGGAGGAGGAGGAGGAGGAGGAGGAGGAGGAGGAGGAGGAGGAGGAGGAGGAGGAGGAGGGGGAGCAGGAGGAGGAAGTAGGGAGGAGGAGGAGGAGAAGGAGGGGAAGAGGAGGAGGAAGAGGAGGAGGCAGGACGGAGGACGGAGGACGGGGACGGAGGACGGAGGACGGAGAGGAGGAGGAGAGAAGGAGGAGGAGAGGGGAGGAGGAGGAGGAGGAGGAGGAGAGGAGGAGGAGGAAGAAGAAGAAGAAGAATAACAATAGGAAGAATAATAATAATAAGAAGAAAAAGAAGAGGCAGGTCGGAGAGGAGGAGGAGGAGGAGGCAGGTCGGAGAGGAGGAGGAGGCAGGTCGGAGAGGAGGAGGAGGAGGAGGAGGAGGAAAAGGGAGGAGGAGAAGGAGAAAAGGAGAAGGGGAGTAGGAGGAGGAGGAGGAGGAGGGAGGCAGGTCGCGAGGAGGAGGAGGAGGAGGAGGAGGAGGAGAGGAGGAGGAGGAGGAGGAGGAGGAGAGGGAGGAGGAGGAGGAGGAGGAGGAGGAGGAGGAATACTAAGAAGAAACATAAGCAGAAACATAATAATTCTAATACTAATAGTATTAAGAATACTGCGAATAATACGAATACGAATAATAATAGCAATACGACGAATGATAATAATATTAAGAATAATAATAATACTAAAGGTAATAATGACAATAGTAGTAACTAATA